ATTTTAAAGAAATAATCCAAATATATCTCATGTATTTGTTTTATACATGTATTGAAATTATCTTGACCCTTTATAAAGACTTTTGTGGAGGTCTACGTACATATTAGGTCTTAAATACTATATATGAGAGTAAGGAGCAGCCTTAGGAGCTCCTAAATGTTTTCTCTGCACTGTAAATCTCATGACTTTTCGACAGCGAGTGCAGAGGAACGCAGGCTGGCGCAGGCTGGTTGCTGAGGAAGGGTTCATCAGTGAGTGCCAGAACCCCGGTTGTTTTCTTTTTTCATGTGTCAGCCAGCAGGCACAGGGGTCCACCAGATCCAATGTTGAGAACCCCCGTTCTACAGAATACGAAAAAGCATGCAGTACAGTATGTTCATAGCCTAGAGCCTTTGATTTACAGTATCAGAGCCACATTGCCTTACTCTAAAACCTTGTTATGTGTTGTTATTTCTTCTAGAATGAGTGTAAGCTGATGTGCTGAAGCAAAAGAAATGTTTGTCACAGTAGATTCATCGTGACTCTTCCCCTTCTTATGTTAAAGCTGTGTTGCACGATGAAAGACAGGTTTCAGAGATCGCTGAACTTCCCTTCTTTCATAACATCTATTTCCTGAATTGTTGTCCTTGTCCTTAGCAGGATTTATGCCAAAGGGGGCTTCCTGGAAAGACTGTTTTTTTTTATTATTATGTTCCAGGGCGCTATCAGCGACAGATCTGCATCTATGGCACTGGAGATCTGAAGTGGCTGAGTGAACATGAGTGCATGTTTGCAAACAAATTTGAATTGAACGCTTACCCACCCACCCTGGAATGTCTGGAGCTGTGGTTGAGAAAGCGTGCCCTTAACCAGAGTGAAATTGCTGCTCACCCAAACTGGTATTTCTAAAATGTTATGTTACATGTAATCATCTGTGGTGGGTTTTTGTCACATTACATGCCTTTAACCTTGATGATGGCCAGTTCCGTTTGTCACTTGAAGCTTGCTTGTGCTTCACTAATGAAGACAGTGAGCAGCATCTCAGTTCTGCTGTTTAAAGATGTAGTGTATGTGCAGGAGGCATCACATTCATTTTCCAATTGATCATTGAGACGGTCAGTTCCTTAGGTAAAATGGTATTGTTTGCAAGAGAATAGGGATGTGTGATCACAACAATCGCATGATGCTGTAATTAAATACATCAAAGAAAAAAGAAATATTGAAATCATTAATAAGAGTCTGTGCAACTCTTCCCTCCTATATACTGACACTTGTGTTGCATCGTTGTAAACCATTACTTAGGTGCTAGCCTGCACATGTGAAGCTCAGGGGAACTGCTGTTGTTAATTTCTGACTACTAAGAAATTTATATTTTCATATATCCATGACTTTTATACTTAGAGGATAAATTCAGTGCTGGATCTAAAACATATTAAATATAACCAAAGGATTTACCAAAATATGTTGGTGATGGGTTGCATGAGAATATCTGTTTCCAGGTTAAGTGACCAAAAGCTCAAATTGGTGATTGTTGGTGTAGGTTGGAAAAGAAATCTGCACTTTCTGTGTACAGTTTTCTGTTTTTCTACATGTCCATATAGTGTAGGTGATTTTAAGGTTACCTCATCAGACAGAAGGGAGTGTACCAATCACTGCAATGTACACTTTCTGATTGCTGACATTAAATAAATAAAGATTTTCTCTCCATTGTGTCTGCAAGATTTGACTATTTGTCATCACAGCTTAAATATTCTGCTACAGGTTGGTCAGGAGCAGCAGGTTCCAAACTCCTCATATATGTTTTGTTTGGTTATGCAACCAAAGCACACAGTAGTGGGAAGGTAGTTCATTCCCTAACTGTGTTCCCACTGGTTTGAATTACAGAAACCAATATAAAAAAGTAGCTAATACATTTGCAGAAAAGGAGGCAGCTCACACTTACATTTCTTTAATTATGCACTCTGGCAATAGCAACTATGAAGCCACCAGAAAGTCACACTGAAATCTCTCTCCATCCATCAATTTTCTAACGACTTTATTCAAGATGGAATCACAGGGGAGCTGGAGCCTATCCAGACAAGGCTAATCAGAGACTACAATAAGTTAAAGAGTAACAGGTATCTAGAAAATAAGGAGGTATAAAAGTCAATATGCAAATACATATAACTACAGCTACGGGTGAAAACAGATCAATTACTGATGTTGTATTTTGTACAAGAAAGATAAAACAGAAGGGACTGAGTTCAGTGTGGCTCTAATGAAGATCTTTGCCATGCATATCATTATTTGAGAATAAGTGACAAAGCAGTGATACTAGTGTCATGGGTATACTGTATATAGAGTAATCCCAATATGCAGAAAATGCAGGAAATATAGGTGACTTTGCCACCAATCAATTTTAAGGTGCTAGGACCCTTCTTCCCGCAACAGATTCATTATATCTTTCAGTGCACCCACAGGCCAGCACTAGACAATTATGCTGTATATGTTTGTTTTTTATTCCTCACAATTAAAATGGCTCTCATGGTCTACACAATACACAAAACACAGTAAGAAAAGTCTCCACAAGAGACATGCACAGAGAAAAACAAAAGCACTCCATAGTCTCTAGCAACCAAAACCTGCAGTCTAAGACAAACCGAGGGCACACTCTCGTGAATAAAGCCCTGTGCAGTTTCCTGGGGCAGCTCCTCTTGCTGAAGAAAGAGACGAGACTCTGCGCAGTCCCTCGATTGCCCATTGAATTCTGTCTGAGGCTCACCTGTCTATCTCCCCTTCCTGCCCGGAGCTGGCGGACTGGACTGGGGGCGAAGGAGTGCTCGCGGGGGGGGGGGGGGGGGGGGGGCTAATTAAGGAACCGCTGATTGGGTGAAAAATCTATGAATGTGTCGTTCAAACTTTGTTGCCCTACTGTCAGCACCGGTACGCTCCTGGCACCAGCGGTGGGTTTATGATACACAGTACCTGTGACCAGGTAAGAACAAAGTTGGAGCAGACCACTTGCTTGACTTGACACCCGCCAGTTACCCTAAAGTGGGAAGATCGCTGACCTTGGTTACTGGGAGAAATCCCGAGAGAAAATAAAACACACCCGACCTGATGAAAGCACAGGACAGGACAGAAAGGCCATACAGAGAGTTGTGAGGTCCGCACAGAAAATCACTGGGACTGAGCTACCCTCCATCGACCGGATATATCTCAACCGCTGCCACGACCGGGCTCGAGCTATACTTCGGGACCCAATTCACCCTGGCCACAATCTGCTTTCATCCCAGGGTTCTGGTAGGAGGAGAATAGATTCAAAATCAGTTTCTTCCCCCAAGCAGTCCGCATCAGAAACAGCTCAAATTAGCACCTGCACTTTAAGGTACTGCACTGTTTGCACTATGTCCTGTCTTGGCTGTATTATAATGTCTATTGTCTAAATTTATTGTCCATCTCTGTCATTTGAGCCTATTTTTTTTTCTCTAATGTTACTGGGTACAGCTGAACGAGTAAGCTTGTTGTATATGGCACATAAAGAAATCTTGAATCTTGAAACAGAAAGTGGAGGAAGCTGAAGGAATATGAGAATGTAAGTAGTGAGGAGTAAGGGCAGCTTCTGCACTGAGACAGAAGTTCATTAAAAATTAATACAAAGTTGGGAAGGACTTTGATTGTGAACTACTGATGTGAGGAGTCCTGGAATTCCATAGCGGCAATGGGAAACAGCAGCGTGCTGTACAATCTCTGCGAAGAAATTATAAATCACAACGAAAAGACGGATGTGTTTGATCACTGTTGTAAACAGTATTACAGTTAATTAATGATGTATGTAATAAGTGCTGTGCAGAAAGATCAAATATTGACTTGGAGTGTAAGAACAGAAGATAAGCGTTTTGGTACAAAAAAATGTTTTCTTTGAGGAACAGAGAACAGTTCTGTTCACACTTTCTACAAATGATTGTACAAGCAGTAGTCAAAGCAACTTCATTTTCAAATTCTCAGATGATACAGCTGTGCTTGGCTTAATGCATAGAGGTAGCAGCTCATCTGTGCACATGTCAGAAATCCAAAGGTTTGTGCAATGGTGTGACAACAATAGCCTAATTTTGAATGCTAAAAAAACAAAAGAGTTTTCAGTCCCAGAGCAGTTGGTGATCACTCACAGGTAGTAATCCACAACGAACTTATCACTCAGGTTGATTCATATAAGTACTTAGGTGGACACATAGACCATAACCTGTGCTGGTCTACTCATGTTGAGATTGTTTGCTCCAAAGTTCAGCAGTGCTTATATTTCCTGCGAAGACTAAGAGTGTTTGGGGTTCGACTGGAAGTAATGCTACTCTTTTACCGTGCTGTAAGTGAGAGCATGATCAGACATGGTATTTCAGTGTGGTTTGGTAATCTATCAGTTCATTTTAAATTTCAAATTAACCGCCTCATCCAGACAGCTTTGAAAGTCATGGGAGTGAAACAGCACCCCTCCCTGCAGACAATCTTTGAAAAATCCATAATCAAACAGGCAGTAAAAATTATATCAGATCCTTCCCACAACCTCAACTCTGAATATCAACTTCTTCCTTCAGGCAAACGCTTTAGGGTTCCCAAATGTAAGTCAAACGGATACAAACATTCCTGTGTTCCACTATCCATTAAAGCTGTCAATGCAAATGTCAAGGATAAACTCTTACACCCACTTGAGTGCGACATGTTTTGTGATGTGTTATAAATGTTACATGTTGCTATGTGTTATACTGTACATGTGCAATAGAGTGATGTGCAATGTTTTTCTTATGTGTTGTAATAGTATAATGTGCAATGTTTTTCTTTTCTTCTCTATTTTTGTATTCTATTTAAATGTACAGGAGTGCTCGGTGTCCATAAGAAAATTCCCCTTTAGAGCACAGCAAAAATCTTATCTTATCTAACATCACAAAGGTTACAATTAAACCAACCGTAAAACTGAAGAAAAATAGATCTTTATGTTAACTTGAGCATGGAGGTGAAACAGATGAACCCAGACTTCAAACAGAACCAGAAGGAACACGACTGTGTTTCTGGGATGTTAAACTGGCATTAGAGTTGTTGAAGAATATGCCTCTGAAGATGTGAACTAGTAGCATATGTTCTGAAAAACAGAAGCAGGCAGCTAAATAAGCTCGAGACATTAGGGAAAATAAGAGGCAGGGAAACAGGATGAGTGGAAGTGAGAGATAAGCTATGTCACACACACTGTACTCACACCGCCAGCTGTGAAGAGAGCAGGAAGGAAAGATCTTAACGACAGCCCAGGAGCGATACAGGCAGTAAGGAAAAAAATAGTAATCACAGTGCACACATTTTTAGCAAATGTACTAGAAATAACAAAATGGTTGAGATACAAACAGTACAGTATGTGCACAGACGGAATATAAGATTAAAGCCCAGGTTGACGTGACATTTCAGGAACGAAGACACGGGGTCCATTTTGCCCTAACCCATTTGTTAATGTTACTGTAAATCTGTAAATGTACCACACCTGATTTGAAGTTGCTGTACTTCACCACATTGCAACATCTGCCATTATGTCCAGGTTTAAACTGACAGAGCACAGTCTCATTTCTTCCTCACGGATAGCTAAATACACAACTGTCAATAAAACAGTTTTTGTCAATCGGCATTGCGCCATCACCAGCACGTCTGAACCCCATTTATTCAAATAAGATGAATAAAATAATCTCTAGATTTATTAACCAATGCAGGATGTATTCCATAGGAATACAACTTCAATGTGCATTAGACTCTTAATGGGGAATTAAGCCCCCC